CACCATTTGTTGAAGAGGCTATCTTTTCTCCAATGTATGTTTATGGTGCCTTTGTCTAGTATGAGATAACTGTATTTAAATGGGTTTGTCTCTATGTTCTCCATCTTGTACCATTGGTATTCATGTCTGTTTGGGTGCCTATACCATGCCGTTTTTGTCACTATAGCTCTGTAGTATAATTTAAGGTCTGATATGGTGATGCCTCCTGCTTCATTTTTCTCACTAAAGAGCCTCTTATATTTCCAAATGAATTTCATGACTGCTTTTTCTATTTTTATGAAGAATGTCATTGAACTTTTAATAGGAATTGCATTAAACCTGTGTAACACTTTTGGTAGAATGGGCATTTTGACAATACTAATTCTGCCTATCCAAAAACATGGGAGATCTTTCCATTTTCTAAGGTCTTCTTCAATTTCTTTCTTTAGTGTTTTGTAGTTCTCATTGTAGAAGTCTTTCACCTATTTTATTATATCAGATCCCAAGTATTTTATTTTATTTGTTTTGGTGCTGGGGATCAAATCCAGGCCTTGTGCATGCAAGGCAACAATCTACCAACTGAACTGTATCCCCAGCCCTATTTTATTTATTTTTTTATTTTCTGAGGCTATTGTGAATGAAATAGTTTTCCTAATTTCTCTTTTAGTTGATTCATCACTGATGAATAGGAATGCAATTGATTTATGAGTGTTAATTTTATATCCTGCTAATTTGCTGAATTTATGAGTTCTAAAAGTTTTCTGGGTCTTCTAAGTATAGAATCATGTTGTCAGAAAATAGGGATAGTTTTGAGTTCATCTTTTCCTAATTGTATCCCTTTAATTTCTTTCTTCTGCCTAATTGCTCTGGCTAGAGTGTCAAGGACTATGTTGAATAGAAGTGGCAAAAGAGGGCATCCTTGTCTTCTCCCAGTTTTTAGAGGGAATGCTCTCAATTTTTCTCCATTTAGAATGATATTGGCCTTGGGTTTAACATATGTAGCTTTTACTATGTTGAGGTATGTTCCTACTATCCCTAGTTTTTCTAGTGTTTTGAACATGAATGTACTCTGTATTTTGTCAAATGCTTTTTCTGCATCTATTGAGATAATCATGTGATTCTTGTTTTTAAGTCTAATGATGTGATGAATTATGTTCATTGATTTCCATATGTTGAACCAAGCTTGCAACCCTAGGATGAACCTCACTTGATCATGGTGCACTATCTTTTTAATATGTTCTTGTATGCAATTTGCCAGCATTTTATTAAGAATTTTTGCATCTATGTTCATCAGGAATTTTGGTCTGAAGTTTTCTTTCCTTGATGTGTCTTTGTCAGGTTTTGGTGTCAGGGAGATACTAGAATAAGTTTGGAAGGGTTCCCTCCTTTTATATTTCATAGAATAATTTGAGAAGGATTTGTGTTAGTTCTTCTTTGAAGATCTGACAGAACTCAGTTGAGACTCTATCTGGTTCTGGACTTTTCTTGTTTGGTAAGCTTTTGATGGCATCTTCAATTTCACTGCTTGTAATTTTGATCTGTTTAAATTTTCTGTGCCTTCCTGGTTCAATCTGGGTAGGTCATATGGCTCTAGAATTTGTTGATGTCTTCAATATTTTCTATTATATTACAGTATAATTTTTAAAAATAGTTTCTGATTATCATCTGTATTTCAATATTGTCTGTTGTGGTATTTCCTTTTTTCATTATGAATTTTAGAAATTTGAATTTTCTCTCTCTTTTTCTTTGTTAGTTTGGCTAAGAGTTTATGGATTTTATTTTTTAAAGAAACATTTTTTTTTCTTTTTTTGATTTAAAAAAATTTTTTTTCTTTTAGTTTCATTGATTTCAGCTCTGATTTTAATTATTTCCAGTCGCAAACTGCTTTAGGTGTTGATTTGTTCTTTTTTAAAAAAAAATATTTATTTTTTAGTCGTAGTTGTATAGAATACCTTTGTTATTTATTTATTTATTTATATGTG